TATATATATATATATATATAAGCAACATTTAAAAAGTTTATGAATATACAGAAGATTCACTATCATTTTTTTCATTTTTAAGTCCTTCGTAGTCACACTTCCTGAAAATTTTATGTTGATCACACATGGAGCAAAATGACTCCAACATTTTAATTAATATTTACAGTTTTTTATTCTTTAAAATCACAAAAATTACTGAACAAACTTTAAACTGTAGAATATGGAAATGTAATGTCGTTTTAAAGAATTTTTAATTTTAACATTAAAAAAAATCGCAGACTGATGTCCAAAAAATAATATGCGGCTGAAAGCGCAAAAAGGATATTTTAAACTTCGAATAAATGGCAGTTTAAATTCCGTCTTAAAAAAAGATCTTAGAAACATAAAGTGCCTCCCAGTGACTACAAAGGGTTAAATTAGATTATAATAAAAAAAACATGCAGTAATCGTCGGACATCTTTATTGTAGTTGCATTTGCAGGTGTAGAAAATACCAAATTTATCTAAATATTTATTACAAACATGAAAAGAATCAGCACAGGAAATGAAATATTCACATTGTTCATTTAATGTACATCCACTATAATGATTGATTTGTACACAAAAGTTGTGTACAATCAAATCTTTGTTTAAATCGGTTACTTGTCAGCAGACTTTCTAACTTTAATTATTATTTTCTGTGTGATACAAAGATGACAAAATGTCCTCGTAGTGTTGCATGTTTGTCTCAAATGTTTCCAATTGTTTAGTGAGATCTCCCAATTGTTCCGCAAGTGTCCTTTCTTCCATAAAGGCTTGCAATTGTGGAGCGCTTTGACACTCTCGATAAAACGCCCCTACATCGCTATTGGTATTCGTGACAGCGAATGGAGTTTTCTGTAACAATATTTGAAATTTGTTTCGTACACAAATGCAGTATAAAATTTGCCCAAGTTATGAGAATAAAAAGATCTTTCCCTATTTAAATAAAATATATAAATATAAAAAATTCTAAAATATTAATCTTTATATATTATTCTTGTATATTAATATTTATATATTTTATAAAATGTTTGTAAAATGTATTATATATAATTTTTATTCAAAAGAAAGTAAATAAAAAATAATATAATCTAAAAAATCTACAAATCTAAAAAGAGTTTTTCTATTTTTTATTGAGATAAAATAATTAGAATTTCAATTTATAACAATACTGCTACTAAAAAAAATTTTACAATAATTCTTTTCTCGAATTTTAAATTGGTATAGAATAATAAATTTATTTATTTATTTATTTATTTATTTATTATATTTTCTTATCTACAGATTTTCTTATCTATTTCGTTATGTTTAAAAGATTTTCTATATAAATATGTATATTTCTTTCATTATAGCCTTCAAATTTAAACTTTAATTGAAACTTAAATTAAATATTACAATTTTAAAAGAAAAGTGCAAAATATTTTTTTACAACTAGGCGAAATATTGTTTCTCGGTATCAGGCAAATTTCACACTGTAAAACATATACATATATATAATACATTATCGTGCATCAGTTCGGATTGAGAGCATCAATTACCAAATCTACCATAATAAAATCATCGTTGGCGCTAGTCATTGAACAACTACTCCTTCTAGATCCGTTTTGAGATTTCGAAATTGTGTTATCATTATTAAGTCTCTCGTTATTTCCATTGTTACTATCAGTTGTAAGAGCTGCCATTGTAGTCTTCGTACTAGGTTCTACTAGTGATATTGGAGGAGGCGACGTTTGTTTGGGTGTTAATAGCGAACTGAATGGTACGTCTGGTATCACGAGATCTTCCTCATTGACAATAACAGGTTTGTTTATTACAAATGCACCAACTTTGATGGTGTCACTAAGTGATTTTGATGTTTCTTCGCTACATTTAAATTAAAATATTATTAAAATATAAACATTTTTCATTAAATACATGTAAATATTTTAATCATGTTTACTGACCTTTGCTGATATCGTGCATGACGCGGACTTAAGTCTGAATGAAAATGATCACTCTTAAGCATGATAGAATCTCGTCCCTTATGAGTGGGCGATATCGTCATTTTTGTTCTATAAGAAACTGATAGATGTATAGTGCCTACTGGAGTACACAATTGACCTACTCTTACATGTTTATAGTTATCACCTGTTATAAAACGGACATTATTCAATGAGAAATCATGTTATACAGCAAATTAATATATATTACATTGAAAAATTAAAAAATTGATTCTTATAAAATAATTCGCATACTGCACATTTCATATTTTATAAATAAATAAATTCTGAAATATATAAATTTAAAAAAATAAAGAATAATTCTGTGAATTATTCTTCATTGATACACTAACCTAAATTATGTAGCTGAGGCTCTCCCATGTATATTCGATAGCACATGGTATAGGAATCAGGTCCTTGACGTCTACTCAATTTATAAGCAGGCGTAACTCTTGATACAGAAAGCAAGGACTTCAATAAAATCCCCATTCTGTTATACACAGTATATGTTACTCGTACAGCTGGATCACTTTGCTCTGGCAAAACGCTGAGGCTCCAAGTTTCTAAAACCATTTTGTCACCCTCTACTGTTTTTAGAGAAATTTCTATGCATAGAGGTACAGCTGAGCTTACTATCTCTCCACATAGTGCCCTTTTAGCATCAGCTGACACCTCTGGTAGTTCCTTTATTGCCAGATTAAACTACAACATCAAATATGGAAATATTTATTTTATTTTCTTTTTAAATCCTTCAAATAATAAATAGTAGAATTAAAAATGACTATATGAATCATCCAATTTATTTGGTTTAATCCAATATTTTGCATCTCAGAAAGTTCTTTATAAAAAATAATAATTTTTATAAGATATACTGAATATAAAAAATACTTTTCAATAATGTTTAAAATATAATTACTATAATTTTAAATTATCTTGGCATTTAGCAAAACTGAATCTTTAACTGAATCATATATTTCTCGGAAAAGTAGTCAAAACGTGGTGAGAGGTTGTAAGAAAACTATTAGGTCGATTGATTTAATTTTTTTTTATTTTAAAGATGAATACTCTTAAGGAGCATAAAACGTACACTAAAAAATTAACAAAAACTGTGTCCAGTAGCATAGAATGTATTTTTTTGGATCGGATCAAACGGTAGGCATGATTCAGCTCACAATATTTATCTGAAACAAAAATTTTTTAATTTTTATTATTTTTTATAATCATAGTTCTCATGTGACAAAAGGGATTTAAACAAAAATATTACGGAAATGATCACAATTTAAAGTCATTTTCACAAAAAAAATCGTCTATTTTTTATTGTTATTCAAAAATAGTTATATTCAAAAAAACTCTCGTGAGCGAATCTTAATTTAGAATATGTATCAAAAATAAAGTTAATCGGACGAACGGTGAGGCTTATTATGTCCATCGTTCTGAAAAATGCTATTTCGAGAAAAATGTGTTTAAAGTTTTGCAAGAGTTTTTAAGTGGGATAAAATGAAAAATTTTTTACTTACGTTTAATCAGCGATGCCTGTATCATAAAGTTGTCCCTCCTCTACAGTATGATCCTCTTCTTACTGCAATTTCATCTGTCTACGATGAATTCTCGCTTCCTGCACTCGAAGTTCGTCCGTTGAAATACTGCTATGCGACGATCTCTTGATACATAGTATGCTGCATTGCCAATGGTGCAATTTAAAGTTTGTAAAATTGTTAACAGAGATATGTAGCCTTCGTTAAATATTACTGTTGCGATATATATGGCGATTTCAACAATCACAGAGTCGCTATATATCTCTTTTGGAGCAATCTTTCATATGAGAATATTTAGACTCTCATTCGATTTTTTTGAGTATAGTCGTCGTATAATACATCTTGAAAGTAAATATTCTTCGTTAAAGTTTTTGTACACAGGTCGAATAGCATTTACAATTTAGAAAGAGCTAGCTTATGTCTGTATTCATTTGAGTTGTTGGTAGCATACGCTCGTTGCCATAAGCACCACGATTCTTCTCTGGGTGAGTAATAATGTTCCGGTTTCTCATCCTTTGAAATTTTAAATAAAAGAATGTTGCCTATATATAGCTTTTTTCATCTCTTCAATAGAATCAGTGTGTCTCCTGGCTAGACCGTAATAGAGCTACAGTTCATCAATCATTTCGCCTGTAAGATTTTCTTCGACTTTTTGTTTTTTTTTTTTTACACGAAGACGCGTTTCCATCCTCTTTATGGTCTACATATTTTTTTTGTACCGGAATATCATATGGAATGTATAATGTTGTTTTCGAAATATCTCGAAATCTTTTACCGTCACCGATGTAAGTATTTCACTCCGTGCAATTGAAATGATCGCTGAAATATTTCCTGCATTCCAATGAATATTTCCTGCATTTCACTTCTTTCATAATTTACGGCACAGTCATGCTTTTCAATCCAATTTGCATATTCCTCGGTGTTACTTTTTTTTTCCTAATATTCACAGGCTTTACATTAAGACGATTTTATAATGTCTATAATTTTTCTTGTCAAAAATCCCATGAGTTACTACATCGAAAAGAAGTGAAAATCTATACTTTTTCGAAGTCCCATCTCAGAAAACAGTTCTTCCTTCATCCTCAAATGTATCTACTTCTTAAGTTTTTTCGCAGTTGCAGCATTTTTTAATGAAATATCACAAACAATTTTTGCAACAGTCATCAATTTATTAACAGAAAGAAATATGCTGTGGCTCACACTCATCACATTGTATTACAATTTTAAATCCAAGGCTTCGAATGTCAGCTTCTGTAAATTTTAATGTCACCTCCGTTTTGCATTTTACATATGTACTAACTATAAACACTACAAAAAAGTTTAAAATTCGATAGCTGAAAGTTGCATCTATTATCACTTCATAATCTTGTCGTTCTTTTAACTTTTTTGCAGATCCAAAAGCTACACTCGTCGTAGCTTCTTCGAATTCTATTTGTTTTCGTCAAAGGCCGTTTTTTTAATGGATCGGGAAAGTCATCTTGAATCGTTTCTTGATTCTTTTTGGTCGATATATATTCATCCTGTCATTTTTATATTTATTTATAAGGCCCGATTGTACCAATGTTTTGGTTTTGATTTTAAATGAAGTTTAAAATTCTCTCTGCCTCTTTTTTACTTTAAAACAAGATAGAGTTTTAAGTTTCGCTTAAAGTCAAGTAACGTTGGTGCAATCGAACCTTATCTGAAATACTAAACACGCGATATATACAAATAAACACGCGACTAAAATGTACTTTTCCACAGCTCTAAGTCAGCTATGGATTTTAAATGGGCTCAGTAATACATTATAGATTCGATCCAATACAGAGCGACCTAACTAATTTTGTTAAAACAGCTATAACTTTATCAATAATTCGAATATCGAGTTCACTTTGTTTTAAAATATTTCTAAGACTTGTGTATGTACCTTTTAAAATAAGAAAAAAAAATCGATTTTTTGAAGCTGAGAAACGTATATGACCCCTTAAGTATTTCTTACTAAAAAGATCTACTTGCAATTTTTTGATATTTCAATATAGAAATAATAAGACATAATAAAAGAAAACTATTCTAAATATAAATTTTAGTGTTACGCTGAATAAACACAAATAGAAATAAAAAAACATTGAATTGATGCTGTTTGTTTTTCCATTTGCTTTATATACTCCATTTGTTTGTTATATACATTTACTAATAAAAATGAATTTAAATAAATATGTATACTTTAATATATAATTAATCCTCCTATGAAGATCAGATGGGATATATTCTACAGCTTCATCTATTTTACATGTGTTGTTTAATAAAGAAACAAGTTTTATGATATTAGGTAGGTTTCCAGGCCTAACTCTTAATCGAGGTTCAACTTGTTTCTCATCTCTTTTTAATTCTACAATTGGAAAGAGATAATGAATAAATTGAATCTCAAAGAGTTAATTGTGAGTTGTGAAACTAGGCCTTAGGCTGGATTTTCACCTTTTGATAAACTTCAGCTCACTGTCTTACTCTCTTATCTTTTCACTCTTTTATTCTTTTGTTTATCTAGTAGATAAATTATCACTTAGTTCATCCAAAGATGGAATGATCAGTCATTAAATACAAATCAACACAAACATTATTCTATCTTTCCTGACATTCAGAGAACAACAAAGATAGAGTGACAATTGTGTAAACTTGTATCACCACCAAATGGAAAAAGATTCGTTCTGTTTCATGCATGGTGTACATGATATATCATTTTATTCTCGTTGTTCACCAAATATTAAAGTAAAATAAAATAATATATTATGCATGAAATGGAATGCATGGAACTTATTCAAAGCATATAATGTTTCTTCAGAAATAATGCAAAGCCATAAAGAAAAGTTCAAAAATGTTAGTGTTTGTACTGCATCTGTCCAATACATACACGTGCATATATAACTTAAAAATAAAAATCGATCAGCATTTTTTGATGAAACCAGATAAATTGGACTGAAGTAAACTTTACTTTTACCCAGTCGCCAGCTGATGAGTCCGGCTTGCATGTGGTATTGACTTTCTGGCCAGATCTTGACTGCACTATGACTTGGGCAGCCCTCAATGCAAGATACTTGGTAAACTTCTCCAAATCCTTTTTGTCTTGCATGCTTAGCTGTGTTGACATTTTATACCGCTGCAATTATAATCGCGGCACTACAGGTGTTCCTCGAACACGTGAGAACGGAAAATACGTATATCGTAGCATCGTAACGGAATAGATGCATCGCATCCTCGAACACGTGTAACCGTGTCTCTCTTTCTTTTTCTCTTTTTCTCTCTCACACACACACGGCAAAGATCAAGATTGCAAATGCTTACATGCACCCGATGCGCGATCGACGCACTTTGAGCTCTTTACACGGACTTCGGAATTCGTAAGTAGACTTGAGCGCACGCACGATACGCTTTCTCGAAAAGTTCATGGATAAAATCGACAACATTGTCGCGCTGCGTACGATCACAATTCACACGACAGATAACGTCCCTTCGAAAATCGAATGTTGTCTACGTCATGAATATTGTTTTATCAGAACTAGTTGACAATTTGAAAAATTTGAATTCACTTACGAAAAAGAATTAAAATACATAAGAATATACCAACGAAATTTTCTGTCTTCCTACTTTTACAATGAACTTTACAAAGTACAAATCGATTGAAAGAGTAGTCGTTGCTAAGCGCATAGTATATAAGAATCTAAGATATACATGCCCATGATATGAAGGTACCATTTCATGCTGACGCTTGATGCTCATTTTTAGTGTCAAAATAGGTCACGTGATTACAATTGACACTTGATATTTGTCAATTTCTAAGTAAAATTGACATTTGCTATTCGTTAATTTTTATCACGTGATCTGTTTTGACGCTGAAAATGATTAAAATTGACGTTTGCTATTCGTTAATTTTTATCACATGATCTGTTTCGACGCTGAAAATGAGCGTCGAACGTCAGCATGAAAAGGCATCTTAACGTAAATTTAGCATATTAACGTATTAACATCGTTGTAACGCGTTCTGAATATGGGTCATGTAGAGTCCCTATAAGAGAATTGTATCAATCTTGTCAAAATTTTCATTGGTTTGAAGTAAAATGGTGGAACCAATCATCGATGCTATTATATCCTCACTTTGAATATCGTGAACGCGGTGATTTAAATTTTAGAAATTGTAAGAGTAGAATTTACGTTAAATTATATAATATTAACAAATAGAATTAATTTTAAAATACAAGATATTGACAGAAATAGATCTGTTTCCTAGCTTAACTAGTTTTACACTTTTGGAACTGAAAATGATGATACGAAACAATGATGAAATAAAACTTTCATTTAAAAATACTTTTATTTTACGAAAATGTCTTGCCATCGTCAAACTGTTATATATTGGTAATTTTAAACGCCCTTTTTGACAATATATTTTAATCCTAAATGTAATAAATCGTTTCATGATTTTATGTGAAATATTGTGACAATTTTTAAGTATCTTACAGTGTCTTATATGATTGATGACAAGGTTAGAATGTCACTTTTGATGTTTTCGTACCACATAATATTTGTATCTTTTATATACTTTTAATTCGAAATCTTTATAATAACGTATAGGCTATTTATAATTTTGATAAAAGAAGATTGGCTTAGTTTAAACCAGATCAGAATCAACCAACTACAATCAAGATTCTTCTATTACAATCGAATGACAGGGAAATGCTCGACAGGGGAATGTGGATTAGCTGGTCCACGCTTGACGCTCTGGAACGCTCCCAGTAGTCCTTATACGTCATTATTTTCGCTCCCACTTTCGCTCCAGCTGCCTCGCCTCGGGAGGTAGATTAAGGGAGCTGTCCAATCAGAGCTCTGGGATATAATATCGAACTTATTAGAGCTCTGATTAGACGGTTTGTTATTCCCTGTTGTTTGCCTATTGTGTTTAAGCTTTTAGTGGGAGCATTCTAAGCATTTGGCGGGAAAGTATAAGCGAAAATATAGATAAAAAGATGAAAAATAAAGATAAAACATATTTTTAAGATGCGATAATTACATCTAACTAATGAAGAAACAAATATTGTTTACGTTTTTGACTTAAATGATGAAAAATTTGCTTGTGCTTCAGAAGATAATTCTTTATCATTCATTTTATGCTTCTGAATACATCCCAAACAGTATAAAATACGAAAAGATAATGAAAAGAAATCTTTTTTAAATTGTCTTTCCGACAAAGCGAAAAGATGTCTAAAAGATGACGAAAAAACATTTTTTTTAGATTATCTTTTCAGTAAAAGCAAAAGATGTCTATAAGACGTATTTTAGTTTTCTTCCTCTTTTCATTATCTTTTTGTATTTTGTGCTGTTTGGGAATATTGTTACAATTTATTTATATATAATACGAATGTATTATATATAATATGAATGTTTCATGAAAACCTTACTCTACATAGATTTAAATATAATATTAATATTTTAATATACTTTGTAATAAACTTTGATTATTTTTCATTTTTTCAGATTTAGAATATTGTACTGAATTACTTATAAAGGCAAAGGCGACAATGCGTTCTACAGCCTTCAATTCTAAACATATTTGTTCGCTTTGTCTCTTTCAAAATTTGACTTATTATTATTTGAATTTCTTCTTCATCATCTTGATACATAGTTGATATGTTGCTAATATTCAAAATATATGTTAAAATTGGAACTAGAATTTAATTCCATCACAATGAAATTTTCTTTATGGTTACTCCCACCTTTAATTAATTTAATCAAAATTAGATCAAATTAGATTAATTAGATTAATTAGATCAAAATATAATTTTTTCTTATTTATACTAATCCGCGTTTGATATTTATCAAAGTTTATCATGAGTAAATCTCATTCAATACAAGAATCGGATTTTTATTTTCCCTTGTATAGGTTAAAATTGGCATCGGTCTTATGTAACGAAAATTTAAATTCATATGGCGCTACAAATGCTACAATCGGTCCACTAGCGTAGAAATTTATAACATTAAGCATTTGTAACATTAATGGACCAACCGGAGCGTAGCATTTAGAGCATAGCGTTCAGAGCATAAGAAGCATCAAGTTGACCACAGCCAAAATAAGGTGACTATGAATACGGATGTTAGCACACTCTTATCTTTTCCACCATGTTAGTAATTTAGCAGGAAAACAAGCAACTGTAGTGCCGCAAGATTTATCCGTTTTTCAAGAGTGATAAGAGTTATTCTCATTTGTAGAGAAATTTGGAAAATTTGTTGATTGGTATGCATAATAATACAAGATGGTACACTATTGTATAGTGAATGGTTGCTACAGTACTTCTGATAAATGTAATGGTGAACGTATAAGTTTCTTTCATTTACCAAAAAATCAAATTATGCGTGAAACTTGGCTGCAAAGAATCGGCGAAAGTCGCATACGTCACAAAGAACAATTTGGTAAGTTCATTCTCAATTATATTTAAGTATTTTAAACATCAACTATCCTATGCTAGACAACATATTAACATAGATTCTCCATTAGAATGCATTACTTTATCTATAATTTTACTGTGATTAACTTATATGATTTTTCTGTATTTTTGGAGCATATTATAAAATTACATTTTATATGTTTAGCAAGAATATGTTCATTGCATTTTTCGGAAGATTCATTCATGGTACCAAAAAGGAAATCGAAAGTTACAGAGGACAAGAGAAGACAACGCCTTTTACAAACTGCTGTGCCAACTTTATTGTTAACACCAACAGAAAACAAGTATAATTTTTGCAATTGTTTTGTTATTGTTTTTTATGAAATAAATAGTATCATGCATTTTTAACACGTTTCAGAACAGATACTATGATAAATATGGATTTTAAAATTATTCGTCGAGAATTTCTACTTGTTAGTAAACCAGGCACAAGTAGAGACAAGAATGAAGAAGTCAGCAGTGGAATTGATACAGTGAATAAATCTTGCGGCAACGTTACTTCTGATAACATGAACGAAACTGATGGCATTGCGGTAGCATCAACAATGTGTTCTAAAAGGTAAAATAAAAAATGATTTGTATACTAACGATGCCCCTCTTGAAAAAAATCACATCACAAAGTTACATAAAATCATGTAATTAAGACAAATAAATCATATAACAGATTATTTCAAATCAGTCCACTACATGATTTTTTTAAATTACGCAATTTGAAAAGTTGTATGGTGATATGTTTTTTGCTTCTATTTCTATCATTTAATTCTTTAAAATTTGATAACTCTAAAATTACATTGATGGATGGAATTATTTTTAATATTAATATATAATATTTTTAATATTAGATGTGGGAAAAAGTTTGTGGCATTTTTTTAATGCCATCTAATGGGAAAAACGCCATGAACTTTTTCTCACACCTAATATTTTTCAAATTACATAAAAATCATGTACATTTTACATGTAAGCGTTTTCTCACGACTCGACGTAAAGGTCTTGTGATGTTGACAGTCAGAGACAAAATGAGAATCAATATAATAAAGTGTAGTCATGTAGTCATTGAATAAAAATAAAAATAAGAATAAAAGGGGTAAAACCAATGTCACAATTCCATAAACAAATTTATATATAGTGAATCTAAAAAATACGTATCATTCTGTAAATTCAAATTCTGTTTCTGTTGCTTTATATGATCACTTCCGAAATCTTTTTCTTCCAGTCTTTTATATCTTTTATCTTCCAGTCTTCCAGTTTTTAAGTACCTTTTCCTCGTCTAATATCTTGATATTTTCCCAATCTCAAAATCATATATTAATGACTAATTCTATGTTCCGTTATTACGGTAAGTTGATATAATTGAAATTCAAACAAATGATTTTAATATTTCTCTAATTTTTCGTTTTCATGTTTCTTTTGAATGACTACACAACAAATCTGACAATTTGATGAGCGATATAATTCTACTTAGTGACGCATGTATATGACTTCGGTTTTATTTTACTTTATATAAGTTTTTATATTATTATTGTATAAGTTAATATTTTTGATAATCATTGGGCTATTCATTATATAGCTAATTTGATATTTGGATAAAGAAGAATGAACTAAATTGTCGGAAATCATTAATTTGAAATCATTAATTTGCGTTACTTATATAATTCGATTTATATTTTATATTGATAAGGATCTGAATTGAAGGATCGAAATTTAATTAAATTAATTTTATTCGTTTTATTACATTCACATGAAAATAAAGAATTTTCTATGCATCCGAATAGCTGATGTTAGGCTCTGATGGGCTTTTTTACATTTTTCGTTATGTAACTTGTGACGTGAGTCTTTTCAGAGTAAGGTGTTATTTTCAGATCCTCATACACTGTTACAAAATTTTTCGACTACGATCGCACATAATGCAAAATTCTTATATGTCATTTCTCTATTCACATGATTTTGTTAATCATCAATATTACTTAAATATATCTCGTATATTTATACAGTAATCTGTGGTTGAACAAATCGTACTGAGTAAGTCATACCATCAAATACATTACACACTTAGGATTGAAGATGCCATTACATGAAGTGCGGAAATGAAACATGGAAACGCGGAAGACAAAATTAAACTTTACTAGATTTCTGCGCATTCTGTTTTTCCTGTTTTAATCTCTTAATATTACATACAA